TTGGTCTGGACCACGCGAAGAGGATGATGAGCGTCGCGAAGATAACTTCGTTCAAACGCGAGATACATTAATGAGTCCGTTCGCGTGAAAGTCATATAGGTGCGTTTTAGGGTGATCATATCTAAAAGTCTAACGATGATAAGTAAAAATGCTTACTCCATTCTCTTTCATTTTCTCTTTCTCTCTCTTCGACTTTGTACCGTAAGTAAAAGCACTAATGTGTGCGCGCCGCATCGACGATTAGTTTCTCTACTTTTCTCTCTTCTCATCAACAATATTTTCTTTTCTTCTTCGAAGACCCGCTTCCTGCCGGAACCCGCTCGACATCTCGCGTCGGTGCTCCCATAATTCTCTTTCGTTTCCTCTTACTTTTCCTCCCTTTATGCCTATAATCAATTTTAAGTCCGTAACAAATATTTATACTTTCTCGCTCGCGCGAAAGAGAACTATACACGGCTATATTATAGAGATACGTGGGTTAACGCAGAAAACAATCGAAGAAAGACACATAACGACCGCGACATATGTGAGAGATTACACACACTCGCTATTAGCGTCTTGGTACTCGTTATAATCACCCGCGGTACCGGAAACTTCGATATCAGTCTTTTATCTTCACATCGCCTGAATCAAGATTACTAATCAGATATGAGTTCGGTGCTGTCGTAATACAGTGCGAAAATTATCAATAGTGAGGTGGAGGGGGCGGGAGAAACAATAAATAAAAAGCCGCAGAAGCGAAAGAGGACATGTGCTCTAATAATGTCGATATCACTCCGATTTCCACTCGGTTATTACTCGAATTGTCCAATCATATAGTTCTATAAACAAGTATTGATATTCTTTCTCTTTCGCTTCAAAATGCGCGTTTATGTATAATTTCTAATGAAAAAATGTAACGCAATCAAAATAATTGTGCAAGCGGAATATCTGTCGTTGCAAAAATTATGGTGCATTAATATTTTCGCGAATTTATCCACGCGAATAGTCGCATAGAAAGCGACGGATTCTCTCACGTCTCTCGCGCGATCGTCCTATGTTACACGATTGGATCTGATTGGTCGATTATCGGATCCATCGGACGTGCAAAGCCGAGCGTTATAGTTCTATCATATTATCACGCAACAATAAAATGAAAAATAAAAGCAAGGAATGCTTTGACATTCGAGTACCGTTATTCTGTCTACTTTTGATTTAGACAGACTCACTCCATGTAGTGTAATCATTCATGCATTAACTTGTGTAACGGCAACACCGCGTTAGGGAGATACATCCATCTTTTGCAATTAATTTCTATATATGTATCTTAATATTTACAGCGCTTGCAATCTTATTATCATTTAAATAATGATCTTTCCAGTCTTAATGATTTGCGCATGGAAATCTTTGATTCATAACAAATCATCATATCTACCGCGGACTGATTACATGATGGAAAAACGAGCTGTACAGTTATTTTATTTAGATAGTGAATTTCAACTTTTCTTTAATGATAGAGATTTTATTTTGGTCCATAATGACGTATACGTGATGTTCCTATTATGCGGCTCATTAATATCGTTCCATTTATATGTCAGACAGTCGTCAATGTTACTTTTATTATTTTTTTTAACGTCGTAATATTAATCCTTTCTCTCCCTCCTCTAATTCTAAATTCTAACAAAGTGTAATTGTAACATCATTACGTGAAATGTATTGTCTCCCAAAAAATCATTAAAGCTGCAATGAGACACGCCCTGATAGAGATGAAAGAATTGAATCGCGAGCTTGAGTTTTCTAGGAATTGCTTCGGCTGCGTTTCACTTAACGCTCGCAACGCTCCCCAAGTAGCAAAGTGACGTCAAATGACGTCTTAATAACGTTTTAATGACGTCTTCAACGTCAGTAAGACGTCATTAAAATGTTGCCTTGCTACCTGGGTCGTGAGCATCGTTTGTCTTATTTAACATTTGATAAATGACAAGGATGAAATGATTCCACGAGCGTTGTGAGCGTTAAGTAGAACGCAGTCATCATATCTCAATGGAAATGATTATCTCCCTACGCAGTGCTCCCTTCTTTTCAAAATCTTGAATTTGTCTCGCTGTATATGTATATTCACCGTCACCGAAAAACATACGAGAAGCGAGTACACACACAGGACAAGCGCGAGTAATAACAATTAAGTACAAGATTGCGTCAATGGCATGACATTGATAGCGGTGTAATAATGATCATGATGATAATAATGATGATAAGGTAAATACGCCGGTCGGGGGAGAATCCTCCGATGATCTTGTCATATATTATCAAGGTCATGACCTTGAACTTGGTTAAAACTTGTTGGAGGCCACTCAGGGTCAAGATTTTTGGAGAATTCTCCTCTAATCGGCACATTAGCTGATGATGATGATGATGATGATGATGATGATGATGATGATGATGATGATGATGATGATGATGATGATGATGATGATGATGATGATGATGATGATGATGATGATGATGATGATGATGATGATGATGATGATGATGATGATGATGATGATGATGATGATGATGATGATGATGATGATGATGACAATAATGATAATGACAATGATGATGATACTAATGATGACGATGAAAATAAATCCATAAAACTACTATATAACTGCCTATGTAACTACCAAATAACTGTCATATTACGTATTTACATAGCAGTTACATGGCAATTACATGGCTGGGAAAATGAAGATAATGAGGATGATGATAATGATGATGATGATGGCGGTGATGATAATAATGCTGTTGAATGATTCGATAATGGATCCGGAAAAGATTTGTCGCTCTTCCTCCGCCATATTTTTTTGCTAAAGATATTTTGGCGAAAGAAAACAATCGAAGGTAAAGATACTTTGTACAAAATACGATACAAGTAGCGATGTAACAATAGTTTGCAATAGTTAAATATAATATATGTATATATATATATATGTATATCTGTATATGCATATGTATATATGTATATCCCGTTACCATTTAGTACGCTATGATCTCCCGTTTCATCTGAATTGTCTCTCTCACACACACAGTTATGATATATAATTATCGTTTGATACGTGGCCGATTTGCCCGCCCCGATCGAAAGATCGTAGCGTTTCGTGTCTACGTTTCATTGGTGTCTGACGTTGCTTCGTATTCCATTTCGTCTTAAATTTTTGTGCGCCATTCAAGACAAATCCGATGATAAAAGGTTACGTCGCCGTTCATCCTCGGGCATCATCTTGGATTCGTTCGATTCTCTTCCAAACAGGCGATCCTGATTCAGAGATTCATCCGAGCGGCCGAAAATACGAGGCTCGAGGATCTCTTTCTCTCTCTTCTTTTCTCTATCTCTTTCGCGGCCCGAATGCGACGATTCTATCCGCGTGCAGGTCCATTCGGGAATGCTGGAATAAAAGCGAAGGACATGGGATAATGTGAGGAAATACGCGAAGAGGGAGGAGGGGGGGGGGTCCAGTCTCATACACACATACACGGGAACAAGAGAAAATTGTCAAGACGAGAGATCGTCATCATTTATTCGTATATGCGCCGCTGCGGCTCTCGATATAGCGCGCTCGATTTCCACGAGAAAAAGAAAAAAATAGCTAGAGGAATTATCGATTAGAGATATGATTATTGGTTGCTGCTGGGTGAGACGGTTCTCCCAAGGCACACCCACGTTGTCGCGTTCTCACTTCTATACGGCGATATGATTATCCCTTTGCAGATCGGCCTCTATCTCTCGTCTGTGTGATGAAAGATCCAACTTTAACTTGTCTAGTTTCGCTTCGCCAGTGACTCGTTTTTGTATATACGGAATTTACATTAATGCGGAATGCTTCTCTCTCTCTCTTACATACACTCGATATAATCTGCAAGGTTTCTTTTGTTACTCCGAGAACCGAACGGCGCTTTGAATAAAACAAAGAGGACGAAGAGAGATTGGAAGAAACAGTCGCGCAGATACGCGATTTACATGATTTGCGCCGTCGCTTAAAGTATGTTTCGCAGATAGCATTCCATAATATTGACTATCTCGTGTATGTTAGAAGATTCCGCGACGGACGAGCAAGTATCTCTTCAATGGACCGCGCAGCATCGATCGAGGATCCTACCATCGCGTGAAGAAGACGAAATAGTAGAAGATTTCAGAAAAGGAGGATTAAGATAAAGTTCGATGAATCTTGTACGTGTCTCTTGTCTCTTCTCGATCGGTAGAATCGTCAGTTGAGTCTCGGCGTGGAGTACCTTTATCTCATCTTGAGCTATCCGCACCGTTCTTTCTTCCTGCCTCTATCGCAAGGTTCGTCCTCGATTTATATTTGTCCAGCGACGGTTTCTCTTTATTTTGCAGTAGTTAACGATTATTAGTAGCGAGTAGCAACAATAGCAGCAACAGCAATGGCGCACTTTTTCTCGCCTTGTCCCCTTTGTCTTCAGTAACAACGTCCGACGAGATCGCTTCTTCGTTGCATATTTTCTGCAGTCGAACGACGTTCGTAGTAATACTGATTTACATGTGATTGACGAGTTGACTTGCGCGCGTGCGGAGCGCGAGAAGAACGAAAACGCGGCAATGCATCGTTATTATCATCATTATCGTCAACACCGTCACGTCGCCAGTAATCGCTCCTTCTCACTTGCCCAATCCGAACTTCATGA